ATAATAGATTACAAGTGGTAAGCTCTAAATTAAATGTAAAAGAAAATATATGGAATTTGTGGACAATAAGAGACTTGCAAACTCTACTTGCTTACGAGTATTGATGAATTATAAACATTTAATTAAATTCAATGTCATGATTTGTTGTTCTCAAAAGAAAATGCATCATTTATTTGCAAGCAATGAATGATGGAATTCTCAAAGCATACAACAATACAAAGGTCTTCCAACAAATATCAAACAGCCACTAACAAATAAGAATTCTTACAAAGAATTGAGCATGAACATTAGCATGAGATTTTGACAACAACACTTGTGAGAGTCATGTTAGTTGGAATGAAGAAATTGATGATGGTGACATCAATCTCATTGAAAATTATGATCGAAGATAAAGAATTTGCAAGTGAAGTGTTACTTGCAAGCAACACTAGAAGAGGGGCAGTGGGTTCAAACACTTGCAAGTGATGAAAGCCAAGGTGATCACAACAAATGATATGATTGCAAATGAAGATCTAAAATATAAGACCATCATGTTAGTTGTAAATCATCATCGATAACAAAGAACCTGGTACGCAGCAACAAGAGATATATGGACAATAAATATTTTAGGGATAAATACCTCGCACGATCCTCCTAAACAGTCCGGCTAACGATAGAAAATAATGATGATGGCATAATTGGAAAGTTGTCTACTGATCCCCATACAAGTTCTAAGAAGAGAAAACCAATCAAATTATTAATGAGGCACGGTCCAACCAAGTTCTAAACATTGAGTTGGATAAGATCAATGAGGCTTACAAATTTCTTGATGAGCAGTGATCTAGCATCTGATGTTTCACTTATGCAGATGTTAAAGAGCTACGATAAGCATAAGCTCCTACGGGTTACCGTAGGAGAACCGTCATATTCCAAAAGTACCCCCTGCACATGCACTATAGTTGTATACACATAGGTACACTAAAAGGGGGTATGCAATTTCAACCTGTATGGGCCCCAACGAGCGTGTTATTGATACACACGTGACGTCTATGGATACTACGCGGGTCAATAAAGTTGAACCCGATCCTCCTAAGCAAGTAGATAGGAGTCGACAAGGTCTAACAAATAATTATAAAATGCCCCCGAAACACGAGCATGGGCCCCGACGAGCGTGTTATAAGTACACACGTGACGTCTAGGGATGCTGCGTGGGTCAATAAGTAAATTCAAGTTCGAACCCGATCCTTCTATGTGGATCAATAGAAGTCGACAGGGTTCGAACCATCAAACAAATATAGGGTTGTGATGACCTATATATTTGTCTTCATACATTTATATTAGGCCTTCAAGGCTTATAAAAATGAGAATTCACTAACAAAGGATATGAGAATTCACTAACAAAGGCATAAAGCCTACGAAACTCAATCCCCTATCGGCAAGTTGATAGGGTCAACAAAGTTCAATATTTAAATAAAAATATTTTCAAAATTGGAAATGACCCCTCATACCCCGATGATGGCCGTGTTGAATGCAAATCTCAACCGGAGGGGTCCATTCCAAATAATTCAAAATGCCACTCAAATACCCAAAATTCAATAATCCAAAATTCAACAAAGTCCAAAATTCAAAAATATTTAAAACTGAAATCTAACCATATACCACTTAAAGCAAAATCCATCCACCCTCCACAACAGTTTGCCAAGGTGAACAAATTAAAATTTACTTCAGTTCACAAAGAGCTAAATGCCTAATCAAAAATATCACTAGGATCCATTCTCAAATAATCTCCTGCCAATAAGGATGTGGTACGTGTCCTCTGACTGACGGTTTTGCCGCCAAATGGCACGGCAGGATGAACGGTTATGACCCGAGGCCCTCTGAACCGAGTGGTGGTTTTGCCGCCAAATGGCACCACGAAATACCGGTTATGGCCAGAGCCAATACGTTCCTTAGTGACATCAAATCCTTGAGATATGAATCAATAGGATATGATCGATAAGACACAAAGCCCTCTGTTAGCTAAAGTGAATTCAAATTTGTCCCCTTAGACAAACATTCACCCCAGATCTATAAGGTCCCCTTGGACGAAGCAACCAATGGCTGTCGACAAGGATCTTTCTCTCAGGTTGGGTTAACTACCTCCTCATACTAAGTAGACCAGGGACTACGATGGCCCAGGACAACGGAACCATGGGATCTTAATCGGGTCTATCATCCATTCCCCCACCATCTGTATTAAGTGCAAGATGGCGAAATTTCCAATTTTAAATATCAAATCTCCAAACTCTCCAAATTTCCAAACATCCAAACTTTTCAAACATCCAAAACCCATGGTGCTACTATATGACAGATAACACGTACTCTATACGTATCTAATTAACAACTAGCCTTAATCGAAAGTTCTCTCTCTTGATTGGGAGGGATAATTAACTATAGGGGCTTGCGCCTATAGGAAACCAGAACTCAGATCATAAAATCCTCACAAAATGAGGGCGAAATCTCTGGGTAGTGTCTTATCTATGCATCGCATTGGATCTTGCATATATTTATATTACAAATATAATTATATGCATGATAAATAAGTCTTAAATATTAAAAAATAATAGTATATATAATTGCATAAATATAAATGTATTTTTTAATAATAATAATAATATAATATATAAATTTAATAATATAAGAAAATTATGTTCATAACTTCTATAATACACATTCACAACCCAAATCTGCAAGAAGTTTTAAGTGAAAATGAGGGTAACACGAAAACACGATAAAAATTTCTAGCATAACCTTTACGATAAGTTTAAGAAGAACAAATAGATGTATTAAGGCATATAATTGTACTCGAGATTCATAAGTACAAAATAAAATAACATAAAAATAAAAGTAAAATATATTGAAATAATGTATAATGAGACAAATGTGATAGGTAAAAACCTAAAAACTTTAATAAATTACAACTCCCGAGCATTAATTGGACTTGGACTCGGTCCGTGATATACTTGAGGTCAAGTGGACCTTCTCCTACCTTCTTCCCAAATAAATTATATATACTTCATATGCAAGTTGAAAAAAAAAATGGGGAAGATTTTTAAAATAGATGAGCAATTATTGAAATAAAGCTTGTCATCATTCATTTAGAAAAAGGATATGGAACCTCTACCTTACCTTGATAAACCCCACACCATGGTTTGAATCTCCTCGAGGCTATTAAATTTCAAATATCTTTACAAAACACATTATGAATATCAAACACTTCGTGACACGCTCTATTAATTCCTCGAACATACACTAAGGTCAATGCATAACCTTGATAACCTAGTGAACTCATTTTAAATTATCTTGCCCACTCAATCATATTTCCAAGTACAAGCATGTATACAAACAACCTAGCTCACCTTATGCCCCAACAAGAAACAAAAGGACACCTAACTTCAATCCGCAAGGGAGCCACCAAAGCTTACAATGAAGGATGCGACATGCTAAACTATAAAATGTGCTAAAATATCCGATGATAGAATTTTCCAATACATTTTGCCTTGCATTTATATTTTGGGTCACCTACCCTATATGGAGAGGTTGTAAGACCCATTATTGGGCCACCCTCTAAAGGAGAGGTTGTAAGAACACACTTATTCATCTCTATTGGTAAAATTATATGCCCCATACTCATGAACCATCATATATATAAGTCACTCCAGATATATTAATAAACCAGGCTGCCTTGCCTATAGGTCAAGATTGTAAGGCCACAATTGGGCTGCCCTTTAATCAAGAGGTTGCAAGTCGCACGCATATGAATCTCAACCAGTAGAGCTGTAAGACATACCCTCCCATCGAACTCATGTTAAATAATTTAATTCAGCACATGAATGGATCTAGGTTACCTCAGCTATAGGGTGAGGTTATAGGATCCAATATCAAATGCTTGTTGTTAGTCCATTTTAAATATATTGCATATTGTTAGTCCAGTTTAAAAGTATGCGGAACAAATAAGAGTTTTCACTTGCATTATTGATGTGTTGCTAAGCTCCATTTATTTTGTGATTCTCTTACAAATTAATAATGTTATATCTAGGAAAAACGAATAAGAAATTTACAATTTAAATTGTTGCCAAGTCAGCATCAAGTGTTGCTGCCTTTGCTATCTTCTCCTCTCTGCAGGAAATAACAGTTGTATTTAACGAAGAATTGTTATTCTATTAATTATATGGTGTTTTGTAGAGCTTATTTTTCTTCTCAATTTACTGTTTGCCAATTCTTCAATTACATTTAAGAAATTTATTGTTTGCCAATTCTTCAATTATATTTAAGAAATTTAGAGTTTGCCAATTCTTCAATTATATTTAAGAAATTCATTTCTATATTTATTATTGAGCAAATATCTTTGTTGGTAAGTGATGTGATCATTTTATTCTCCATATCCATAATTCTTCATCATGCATTGCACGGGTTTGCTGGAATCAAGGACAATGCACTACTTGTAGTCAATTACCATTAAAGATGAAGCACACAAAACTATGAAGAAGAAAGGAGCACAAAGCCCCCTCCCTTCTACCTCTTCAGAATATGATTTCATTTATGATTAACATTTTGTTTCTTTCAAATCATCTTTCATTACTTATTTGACGCCTTCATACATATTTTGTTACTCGAAAAATGATAATTAAATTTTAAATTTAGCATTCATTCAAGAGTAGTTGCTCTGAAACGGAAGGTAACACTTCGATTAAACTCTTCTTTGCCTCATTTTTCCCTACCAAATTTCATTTAAAATACCATACAGGCATTTACTACTCCTATATCAACATTGATGAGCTTATTATTATGCATACATTCCGAAACGTGGAACCAAAATATTCGGACAAAGAAGCCTTCATGATAGGGACAATGGAGAGGGCAAGTAAATCCATAGCAGCAATATTAATTCAACAAAATAATTTTTATCAAATAAACTTTAAAATCAACCTTAAACATAAAAAATAGATTGAATAGAATTGCTATTTATAAATCATACTAACAATTCTAAATAAAGTATGAAACAAGGTTAGCAACATATTACACAAATTTCACTACCTCAAAACCAGCATCAAAGGGAAGGCGTTTAGCAACTTCCTTTGTATTACCACTAAAATAGCGTCCAGAGCTGTAGTTTACCTGTCAATAAAGAAATACATACGAGGTCTGGAGGAATTACAGTACCACTAAAAACGTAAAAAAGAAAAATATCCAGACGACTGAAGATCAACTCAATTTATGAACAATAACTTACATCGCTTGCGTTTACTCCAGCATAGATGATTTTAACAAGAGCGTGCTGTGATTTAATTGGTAAACTCAATTGTGTGCGCACAATTTTAGTGGCTGACCGGAAATTGTGACTAAGAGTATGAACAACACTAATTGCCAAAAAAGAAAAAAAAATTAATATCTGCCAAGTAATGCAAAAACATAAAACAAAAAGACAGTTCTTATATTAGCACGATATTGGAGTACTCAATTAATAAAATAGGAATGACTCCATGAATAAAACTTGGATCTACGGAGCACTAAATTGGCCCCAAATAATTTGCATTTATTCAATAATTAGTCGATAGTAATTAAATCATACATCATGAATTTCTATTCATAGAAATCGAATTATCAGGATAAAGCCAAACAATTGAAAATTTAATTCTCTCCAATTTTAGTGAACACTCAAATTTAAGTCTATTGTTATCTGAGTGAATATAAAACATATTTAAAATTTCAATTAAAAAAATCATTTATAAATAGAAATAAGCTTAAACGGATTTGAACATGGGACCAGTTCACAATACCTAATTTGACTCTTGTAATTTCTCCTATAGCCACTTAGGCTTTTTTTTAACTGATTTTGCTGATTTGAAGGCATATACCGCATCAAATATAAGTTTTAAGATGTTTAACATGACGAAACCTGTCACAATTTGTACAGTTTGCTGGATCTAATACATATTAAATAATTTCTCCTATAGCCATTTCTTGTAATTTCTCCTGATTTTGCTGGATCTAATACATATACTCTCCTAATAGGGTCATCGGAAGTCTGATGTTTAACATGACGAAACCTGTCACGACCCGGCCCGGATGCTCGATCTAATGAGGCGGATACGAAAAGTCGGACGATATTACATTTCCATCAATATAATAATTATTCATCAACATAAACTTTTCTATTAACTGAAGAGCCACTAATTCCCAAAACATAAATGACCTGTTGTCATTAGCACACCATCTTCTGTAGACAAATTCTTCTCTTTCAGCCATTTTCTTTTCTTAGGAACTTACCTGAAACATTTAAAATCGTGGGTTGAGTTTACTAAGTAAACTCAGTGGGTAACTATTTAAAACAATCAATATAAATATTATTTAATATGTATTTTATCATTACTTAACCTTATTTCATTCATTTATACATCTCTGGTCATTATCTTTAAAACATTTTAAAGCAATTTGAAACTTTCATAATTCTTTAATACTTCATTTTTCAATTTGATTTGCACAAGAGCACCGTCTCAAAGTACCCAAAGGTACAACCTTTTCCATTTATTTCCTTTTCCATTTTCCTATTTCTTTTTCTTTTTACGTGCACGAGTACGGCGTCCCCAATCAGTACCATAAAGGGGTGAACTCCTACAGTTTTCGTACATATCCTTTTCCATTCCTTTCTATTTATTTTGAACATCTTTATTCCTTTTCATATGTCATTTCTTTGTCTACATATTTCTTTAATACATACATATACTATATAACATTCTTTTTCATTCACCTTCATAATTTCATTCAAGTTATTTGATTCTTTTATTTTCTGTTGTAGTAATATTTGCAATTATTTAGGCGTTTAATCTTTCAACATTTCACATATGATAGTCCTTAAAAATAAAACTTGAAAGCAATATTATAATGCAAAATATAATATCATATTAAAAGAATAATACTAAATTTTGAAGTCATAATTATAATTACCCACTTTGAACTTTTCAGGCCTTCAATGCTTGATATAATCTCGAATCAATTTCCTTGTTGAAATCTTGCGGGATCAATTCTTACAACTTGATCTCTCCCTTCCTAAAACCCTAAATTCATACAATAGCTTTAAAAAAAAAATCATTATTCAATAACAAAATATCAATAAAAACTTTTTATAAAAAGAAATTTACTTACAAATGGGAACTTCTCAAACTCCCAAAATCCTCTCTTCTAAAATTCTTTTTTCTTCGCTTCAATCTCTTCCTTATCCTCTGTGAAAATATCATTCGCATTTAAGTGAAGAAATCGACGAAATTTATAAGAAAAGGAATAAGAGAATTCTAACAAACCTTCTTCCCTTTTCCTTCTCGATCGTTCTTCTCATCCACATAAATTTCTTCTAAAATTATCACTCTTTTAACGGTAGGAAAGAAAAGGAATGATAAATTCTTATCCTCCAACGCGATCGACTGCTAAAAATGGCGAAAGAAAACTCAGAATCCCTCCGCACACTCGGTCGTCCGCCCGCTCCGCTCGTTGCTCTGTTCGTGAATAGCAACCTGCCCTAGGTCGCGACTCCTAAAAAGAGACGAGTGGCCGGTTCGGTTGAACTGGCCCCCAACCGGTTCATTACAAACCATCTAAAGCAACTCTCTCTAATCTTATCTGTCACTGGAGCTACTTGAAATCTCCATTTCAAATTATCATAAATATAGAAGGGAAGTATTTTGTCAGCATGTATAGTTTTCATTTTATCCGAGTAGACTTCCATCCATATGAGCCCTTGTGATGGAGATTTGTATGTTTATGTTTAATTAGAAACATCAAGCAATTAAATAAGCAATCCAAGTTTGATAACATTCAATTTTTTTACTTTTATTTTATAATTTTTAAGGTTAGAAATTTCTATGAAAATGCCTGATCTGGGTAATCTCTGGTTGGTTTAGTTCAAGTGATAGGATTACGATTGCTATTAGTTCTACTATTAGATGGTTGGTTTGGTCCGATGAATTAATTGTTCTTGGATTCTATACCTTTGGAGCTATTTGATTTCTTTTGCAATATGGAATATAGTAGTGGTTATGTGGCTTAATTGAGCTTTGTTTGTTCAACGGCTTAAGTGGGTTTTGTTGCATCATATCTTCTATTGTCGGAGCGGGATTCTTGTAGCTGCAAACGAACTATCATATTTCTGTAACCAGCAACTAACATCTTGGCCTTTGCACCACCATACACATGTATTGCAGAATAGCTGTTTTAAGCAGAATGACTTGTAATGCTGATACACGTTTATGCATAAAGAAATGAGGTTTTTATAAATAGATAATCTAAAGCATCTATCATTCATTCAATTTTTTTAATGATTCTCTTTTAATCCTGTACTACTTGGTTGGATGTTTGATTCCTTTGGGTGCATCACAAGACTGATAAACAACCTTCAAGGGAAGATATCTCTATGTACTGATGTAAAGCTTGAATTTCTCCCATTTGCGACTTTTTTCCAAAAAATATTTTCTTATCAAATATTAGTTATTGGTATTGTAAATATTAGTTATTGGTGTTGTAAGAGATTTGATTTTGGTCAAATTCATCACAACTGAACTTTCATTTGTGGTGTGAATTCAAGAGAATTGCGTATTTTGTTTGGTTTACAAATTTTCACCAAATTTTCTTCAGCTTGTGCAATCATTAAGTTATCAATTGGCATGTTTTCCTCATATTCAAGTTTTCAACAGAAGTAACCAAATATTTGTTTAACTGGTGGTTTTTCCAAATGTGAATTTCTAAATTTTAACTGTGAGTTTAACATATCAAATAATCTAGTAAAATTAGAAAATGTGATAAAATTCAAAATAGCCTCCCGACTATTCAGGTTCACCAATTTAGTCCCACAGAATCATGTTTCTCTAATTTAGTAATTTGAGTATGTAAACCCCAAAAAGTGTCATTTTAATCATCGCACGCTTTTTGATGCGCCACGACGAGATTTAAGTGAATTTTTCAAAGTCGTCGGAATTTGACGAAAATAATTTTATAAAATTCTATGCAAAATTCTGAGCAAATTGATATATAAAAACTATATCTAATTTCATTTAATTTGGGAGATAAAAATTAAAGAAATCTCATAATACCTAGATTACCCCTAGTGTTTATTCAAGCATGGATGTTTTAAGTGAGGGTATATTGGTAAATTGGGAATTTTTTTATAACCACTCAAGCTTTAAGGGACCGAATTTTATTTGGTCCCTTCATTTCTTTCTTCCGCCCGAACGCACAAAGAGGCGGAGAGAAGGCGTCAGGCAAGGGACGGACGGCGACCCTAGGGGCGGATTTCGGTGGCCGTTCGAGAGGAATTTGTAGGGAAGAGTAAGGGAAGGCTAAGGTGAGTTGTATTCAAGTGATTTCTCATGTTTTTGTAGAATTTTCTTTAAGGAAAAAATTAGGGGAAACTTCAATTTTCCTTAAGAGAATGATAGGATGGGTTTAGGAGATAATCTTAAACATGAAAATGAAGTTTTTTCTTCAAAATGTGGAGTTAAAAAAATTAGGGCTTTTTCATATTGATAGATTTTTAAGAAATTTATTGAGAAGTATTGTTTCAAATGATCATAGGGAGGTTTCTAATACTATAGATTAGGGTGTTTTTCCCAAAAATGCAATTTTTGTAATTTTAATTTATTTTAAATCCGAAAATAAAAATTAGTTTAAATTAACTTAGGTTAGGGTAAAGGGTTAATTTGGTTAAAATATGTAATTAGACTGAAATATGAGATTTTAGAATTATTATATGTCTTATGTTTTAAATGTGAGAGAGAGAGAGAGAGAAAAAGAGAACTTTTAGAAGTCTTATAGGAGTAGTTTCATTAAATTTAAGATGATTAGCTTTAGCCGTTGAATATTAAAATATTTTCTTATATGTATTATTTGTGGTGACCTCGAAGGAAGGAGGACTAGCAAAGATAATCAATTTCCTAATTTCTTGTAAGTACTTGTGGTTCTGTATTACAGGGATTATTTTTTTCTCTCAAGTTATATGATTTGAAAGACCAAGCATGTTTATAAAATCTTTATGGTCAATTTAGATCATAATTCTATTACTTTTGTCCAATGATTGATCATGCAATTTATATGTTATATTTTATAGTATTATCATACAAAGATCATATATAATAGAAATGAGATGATATGATTATGATATGATATAGTATATTATGCTTGTATGTGCATATTGAATTGATGGAGCTCACCCTCTTATGGTAATAGCTAGGGACGCTGTACTCGTACACATTAAAATAGTAAAGGATGTGAAAAAAGGAAATGATAAAGGAGTACATTTATGGTACTAGACGGTGGCTCCTGTAATGATTGTAATATATAAACAAAATGAGAAGTTACGAATAATGATATG